TTATTTTAGGTAAAATTTACCTATACGGAAGTTAGACTCAGAAGGACTGCCAATAATTTATTTATAATGAAGAAAAGGACCAACGAAGTGCAAGTTCCGCTATAATGTCCACGTCACGTTGTAGAACGTCAGTACTGTCGGTCAATTTTGTGCAATGTTATCGCATGAGCTTTAATAGATGATATGCCAAATAAGCGCTCCAAAAGTTGAGAGGGCACGTGATTGATGACCCCACGCTGGGCTGATCAGGTGCACCGGATGTGCAAAGTACACGGATTTTAGGCTTGTCACTCGCTTACGCGATCAGGTGCTGCATGCGCATGAATGAAATGAATGCAGTTCCATCATTACTAATTTTAACATTTCCACCCTTAGAAAGTTTTCGGATAAAGGAAGAGAACTCTGACAGCTCCGTGACAGTTTGCTTTCAATTTTTCATCTTGATATTCGGATATGGCGGAAAGAAACAGTTCTTCAACCGTTGCTTCTCGTTTTGCGGACCCACCTGTGGGCGAGACATTTGCTGGATGGACTGTTGCTCAGCTGAAGACTTATCTGAGGGCTCATGGAGCGAGATTGGATGGAAAGCGAGATGAGGTGCTGCAGAGGTAAGACCGAAAGATATTATCTTATTGCTCTTCAGTAGACAAGTATCTCACTGACGATAGTGTCTGTCCAATTTATTGTTGATGCTGAAGGTCGAGATATTATCACAGCGACCCGGAGCTCCGCAAGGTGGACAAGGATGGCAGCAGGCGCCGAGCAGCGAAAGGGCGATCGAAATCCGTTCCTCCTTCACTAGTTGCTTCTGAAGCGAGTACCGCGACACCATCTGCTCCGGGAACAGAAGACCCTGTTACGCCGGCGAATCCAACACATGACAGGAGAGATGCTGCTCAACAACCAGCATTTCCCGCGGAGGGATGGAGCCATCGCTCCGCAGATCTGCCCCATGGTGTTTCTGTTGGTGTTGTACTCCTCCATCTTCAGAGTCGAGGAAAGCACCTAATGACACAGAAGCCATTCCGTCGAGGGCACGAGTTCTTCTTCTGGTCCTACGTGCATGGTGTGGAGTGTTGCTCTCCAGACGCAAAGAACTCTGGACCGCAGAGGCATTTTGTAAAGGCTAAGTGCTGGGCATCGCAGAGAAAGAAGGAGAGCTACAGACTCAAGTGTGTACTACAGCGGTGCGTAAGCATGTACCAAATCGAAGTGATATCAGCATATTATACTTGCACTGCTGGCATTGCAGGCTCCTGCCACCACATTGTTGCCTTGCTGCTGACTTATAACTACTGTGAGATGAAAGGACAAGGCTTACCATCTGCAGGGTCAGCAACCTCGCAACAACAGCAATGGGGCCCAAGACCACGGAGTGTCGTTGCGAAACCGGTCATGGATGTGACTGTGGAGCGTGCGTCCACAAACCGATAACGCCAAGAGGACGGGAAGTTACAGTGCAGCCTCAACGATGCTAGAGCCCCGGACATGAGAAATATATCTGCGATCGACCTGGAGATCTTGCGTGGTGGTATGAAAGACGTTATGCCAAACTGCCCTCTCCTCACTGCATGGCCTGCAACGGTGAAGGTCCAGAATATCCAGTCAAAGTACGGGACTGTTTTTTGTGGATCAACTCTGTGCCATCACCTGATTCCAGAAGGTATGGAACATGTGCCCCTGCCTTGTGGAACCGAGCCTGAAGAGCAGCCAACAGAGGATCATGGGTCAACTAGTGGCCATGGGAACCCTTGTCAACCACCTCAGCATCCTGACGCTAGCAACACATTCATTGACTTGCCTTTGTCGCGGGAAGCCCCGCCTTCACTATCTCATGTCACAGAGAAGATGCTTCTAGCAGAGGCAGTAGCTATATAGTGCAGTATCCGACAGCAGAGTGGCAGCGACATGTGGCATAGGCTGAGGAATAAGACCCTGACTGCTTCGCGGTTTCACCTAATCACTCACCGGAAGGAGGTTACACCGACGTTCGTTCAGTCATTACTCCAGTCAACCGATTTGTGACATGTTGCCGCTATTAGACATGGCCAGCGTAATGAGAAGGATGCCAGAGAAGACTACACGATGCTATTGCAGCAGTCAGGAAAAGAGAAGGCTGCTGTGCGAAATTGTGGCCTAGTGTTGCACCCCAACTGTCGATACATTGGGGCGAGTCCGGATGGGTTAGTCTTCGACCCCAGCGAGGATTCATGCCACGGCCTTCTCGAGATCCAATGCCCACTGAATGCATTTGATAATGATCTCACACCTGAGAAGGCCGGCGCTGATACAGGCTTCTGTTGCGAGCTGCAGGAAGGGAAGATCCACTGGAAGGATAACCACCCCTACTGCTACCAAGTGCAAGAGCAGCTTGGTGTGTCTGGTCTGCTGTGGTGCGACTTTTTGGTGTGGACAGGACCCAGACGCGTCGCATGTGAAAGATTGCGGTTCAACGAGAAGTTTTGGATTGAACAAATACTTGCACCACCAACTGACTTCTATTTCAAGGTTATGTTAAGGACGGTGTTTAGGCTTGCGTAAACACATCTCGATTATTACTCATTTATCGGTAATATCTGAAATCTAACTCTTGATTTTTCTTTCCAATACGCACTCGATTTTGCTGTCTTGCACCAGTTCTCTTCGTTGTTAAACCCCATTGCCATTTTTGAAATGCCATCTGTAAAGAGACAACGGTTGTACAGTCGTCCCTCTCTAATCCGGCACTTGTTTATCCGGAACCCTTGCCAACCGGCGCACTTTCTGACGAAACCGATTTTTTTCGTTCAATTCCTACATCTTAATCCGGCACTTGAATTCCGCCTCCGGCAGTGACTTTTTGAAACGAATCGCTCAAACTACACATAGTTTGATTTCATAATCCGGCATTCGTAAGTCGCGTACAGTACAGGTGCACTCCTTGCCAGGCCAGGCTAGGCCAGTCTGGTCAGTGCCGCGCACGCGGGGCCACTTCAGAGTTCAGTTGACAACTGTACTTTACCTCGCGCGGGAGAGTTCAGTTCGGTTGGTTGTTAGGACTTTTCCGAACCCTAACTTATTTATACAAAGAGAAAGACCAAGGAACTGCAAGTTACGCTATACTGTCCACTAACATCACCAGTTACTAAACTATCAGCTCATGCGATAACATTGCACGACACTGACCGACGGTACTGACGTTCTACAACTAACTACAACGTTCGACCTGCATGATGTCGACTGCTTGCATGGCCTTCTCAAGAGGGTCAATGTTGGCCAGGAGACAACGGCTAAGCAGTCAACCACACTTTCTTATTTTAGCAAGGAGTAGTGTCCTGCCAATTTTCAGGTGTGTGTGCGTGTGTGTGCAAGAGTACATTGTGAACATGTTCTCTGTTTTACTTTATCACTTTATCACTGTGTATATTCCTGGAGAACAGTTGAGAATATAAAGCCGTGCACCAAATACTTGGGTCGACACGGAAAACCCTGCGTTTGACGTATGATACATGCATGCAATTGGGTAGGGCCGGGTCAGAGGGCAGGATTTCTTAATCCAGCACCCTCGTTAATCCAGCAGAAAACGCCGTAGCAAAAGGTGCCGGATTAGAGAGGGACGACTGTATCTGATACGGTCTTAGAGTTACCCTGCAGGCTCTGTAGAAGTACAGGTCGCTGACGCAGGTGTAGCAGGCTGTGCAGATGAACTCGTGGATGCACCATGAGTGGGCATCAGACTGTGTGGCTGTAGCCGCAGGATGTGCAATAGTGCCGTGCCGCTGGATGCTGGTTTAGCAACGATGGGTGTTTGGAACAATGTTAACAAGCAGCACACTGTCCATACTTGGTTAATAATGGCGAAAAGCGTTAAGGGAATGATGCCTTGCAGAATCTGGTGTTCTTTAACTCACTGGATTAGACGCTCCACGTGAATTCGGAGCTTGGCAATTTGCTGCGTTTTCAGTACATCTGCAGCACTCATTTGCTGACCAGTCACCTTGAAAGGAGGGATGTTGAGCTTCATACCCGACTCGATCAGCAAATCTTGTATATCGAATCCCTTATCAGCCATTACAGAAAGACCGGGGGTGGAGATCTTCAACAGGTCAAGAAAACCGCCCCGCACAACAATCTCCCTGTCGCTGATTGAGCCTCCGTACAGCTGTGCAATAAATGCCATGGCTCCATCTGGGGTAATTGCCGGCAATCCCTTCAATGTTGTGTGTCTCTTGTAGGAGCCATACAGCTGTGACTGCAGCGGGAGGCTTGAAGACACTTCACACTTGACCTCAGTCACGTCGATCACAAGTAAGGTAGAGGGGTAGAGATCCTTAAACGACTGGGGCAGATTCTCCTGCACGCTCTCTGCACTGGGCCATATCGGAATGAACCCGAGCCGAAGGTACAGATAGGTAGTCATCTGATTGAGCATCCGACTATTGGTAGGCTGTTTCAGGTAATAGAGATCAGCAAGCATTGCCTCATCTATACAACGGCGCAAACGAACAACTGTCATGAAAATTTGCTCCAGCAGCGACAAGGCCTTGTGTTGGCCTCCGCCGGAAGCCCTGGAACGATCAGCCTCGGCTTTACTCCTGTGGGAGACAACAGCGCTTTTACTGTCAGATTCCACATTCAAGAATGTAGCAACGGCCATGAAGGATGCGTAGGTGCTCAACATTGCGTAGAAATTCATCTTTCCTGGGCTGTCTTTGAATCTGGATAATCCAAACGTGCGATTGTTTACCATTTCGCTCAATTCTACTAATTTCCTGTTGCAGTCATCCAGCTCGCATTGAGCACTGTCGAACGCTTCCGCCAGCGTAGGGACAGTATGCCTGGGACCACTGGACACGTCTTCAGGCACCTCCCGTGCCATAGCTCGCGAGGTAGCGCGACGCCGGTTAGCATCAGCCGCTGTCATCTTGGCGTACTTCGGCCACGATTCCAGATCGAAAACGCGGGGCACAGAATTTTTCGCGAGCCTTGCTCTAGTAATTTTCTCCGCTTGTACATAATCTTCCAGTAAGAAATGGTCAGAACACACTACAGTAGTATCGCTGACTGCAAACTCTCCTTCCCTTTCCTCCCGTCGAATAGCAGCAGTCCATTTCCTTCGCAGTTCAGGATCAGATGGAAATTTATGGAAAAGACGAATACCATTTTCTGGAGGATAACGCCGGTCGCCAGTACATCCTGGAACACAGCAATGGTCGTGGTTGGACGGCATCGGAAAAAAAGGCTGCACCAAATCACTTCAGCCTGGATAAAGCAAGCGAAACTGTTTCTTCTATCCTGTCAGACTGTCAGAGTTACGACTTTATAGTTTTCCGCTATATCCCCTAAAAAATACCGAAGGAAGTGCCTTTTAAAAAGTAGCAACGGTGGAACTGCATGCATTCCATTCATGCACGTGCAGCACCTGATCGAGTAACCGAGTAACAAGCCAAAAATCCGTGTACTTTGCACATCTCCCCGTGCACCTGACCAGCCCAGCGTGGCGTCATCAATCGCGTGCCCTCTCAACTTTTGGAGCGCTTATTTGGCCTATCATCTACATAGTCAAGTATCATGTGGTGGTAGTGGAAATTACAGCGCAACTTGTACGTCCTTGGTCCTTTTCTTTATTCTACCGAAGTTACCCAGAAATAATTCTCCACCGAAATATTCCGGTTCTACATTGCCAGTACATTGCATGACAAGGCACGACGGGGTAGTCATCCGCACATACGTTTGCATTCAGGTGTGTACGGGTGTCCAATAGAGATTGCCGCCCACGTGCCACTTCGGCATGTTAGCCGAGTGCCGTATGTGGCAACAAAGCCTGCCTTGCAAACTAGAAGCGCCGTGGAGTGGACGCGGTGGGCGCCCTGGTAGACCACAGCGCCATTGGTGATATTCTCTTTGGGGCAAAACTCTTCTATGACTGGAGAGGAGAAAGCACGGAAGCAGTGCGTGTACGCAGACATTCACAGCACATACAGTCAGAAACAACACATATCAGGACACACGAATGCACACTGCACACGTAGCAATGAGTAATGAGAGAGTTTGGAAGCTCAGGGCCCTACACTATGCTTTGTTCCCTAGCTCATCGTGCATGTTGCTAGAACTGATGGAAATGTGTTTTCCTTTGATTAGCTACATCATTTTATTGCAAAAACGTTTCAGTGAGTTACTGAAGTAACGTCTTCTGCATAGCTATGGGACCGGCGCTGACTCTGCCGATCGCGGGCATTCTGGAGTCGACGGGATGTCTGTCCTGACGTTTCCTGGGGCCGGCGCTGACTCTGCCGATCACGGGCGTGCTGTAGTCGACGGGATGTGTGTCCTGACGTTTCCTGGGACCGGCGCTGACTCTGCCGATCACGGGCGTTCTGGAGTCGACAGGATCTCTCTTCCGACGTTTCCTGTGACCGGCGCTGACTCGCCCGTTCACGCTTATTTTAGAGACGACGGGATCTCTCTTCTAAAGTATGTTTTTGCTGACGCATCCTATCACCTATTTGGCAACAACGTCCATTCTAATTGCATTTTCTCCTCGTCTCCCTATTTCTTGACAGAAAATCTCCCCATACATCAGGGAGTCGTATACATAATACGACGAATATTGTGGCGAGCTGTTTGTGGCCGGCTGTGTTTGATGGTACGGTACGGTACGGGACAGATACGGGATAGCGTCGGCAAATATTGTGGCCAGCTGTTTGTGACCGGTCGACCAGCTGTGTTTGATGGTACGGTACGGTAGGGGACTGATACGGGATAGCGCCAGGCGTGACACAAACAAACAAACAAACACCAAATTAAAGCTGTGTGGACCCTGGCTAGCGCCAGACGTTACTGAAGTAACGTCTTCTGCATAGCTACGGGAATAATAGTATTGTATTCATCGCTGCAAAGCCCAGGACCAGTCCTTACGCTTTGTTTTCACCTAGGTCATCATGTGTGTTGTTAGAACTTATAGGAGCATCTTTGCAATAAAAAACACGTGCGATAATCGTATTTGTAGGAAAGAAAAGGATCAAAGAACGACAAGTTACAGTGTGCTATCCACTAACACCACCAGTTACTAACCAATCAGCTCATGCGATAACATTGCATGACACTGACCGACGGTACTGACGTTCTACAACTAACTGGCAAACAGCTTTAGGACATCGAACTGGTGGTGCTAGTGGACATTATAGCGTAACTTGTAGTTCCTTGGTCCTTTTCCTTTTCTATAAATTTATCCTCGGCTCTCCATCCGAGACAACCGTATTGCAAAGAATGTCTGGATAAAAACAAAGCATAGCGACAGCTCCTGGGCTTTTAAGTTCTCTCGTTCCAAATTTTTTAGGTAAAAAACGTAAACACAAATAGAGCTTTTTCAAGGTTGCGCCAACGGTCACTTTTGGGGTTACATGCGAGAATTTTTTTATCGCTGGTGAGCAGGCAAAGACCAGTTCATATTCAGTTTGTATGTGAATGGACGCATGCAGTTGAACGATGCACTATAGCGTCACTCCACTTGATGTTCAACACTCGTGCTCAGTCAGAGCAGTTGCCAGGAAGCCCTTCTATGGCTTGGACGAAAAAGAACAAGCTTCAGACAGGCACGTAGCAGCCGGTCCGGCCGGTCAGGCTTTGGCAGGACCGCTTTTTTTTTTAAATGCCCAGAATGCAGGATTTTGCACCCTAATTTCCAAAAATTTCTATGGGCCAGACCCTGGAGCCCCCCCCCCCCCCCTCAGACCGGACCACGTCCAACGGAGGTGCTATGCGCCTGTCAGAATCGCTGCCAGCGTTGGTGGAGACAAACCTGTCAACATTCGAGTACTTTTCAATGCGTTTTCACATGCTACCTGTTCACCACAATCTCAAGGTGGGTGCCGGTGGAGGGCATGGCGCTCCTTCCTTGAAAAAACCTTTATAAATGCATCACTCCGTGAGAACTGTTGTAGCACTCGCACTTTTCAAATAATACGCACTCACCAGTTTGTCCACACGCACTCACAACTGCCACATTCATCTACTGCTACCATTCCAGGCTCATATCCACTGCATAAGTTCACACTACGCGTGTTGTGCATAACCTCGAGCTGCTGCATTCTCACGCTTCTTTTCATATCATTCTAGCTATTATATATTCGACCTACCCTTATAACGATATTTGCGTCACACCAAGAAATATTGTTATAAGGGTAATATTGTTATAGGGGAAACTGGCTCATTTCATACACATGCGTCATAATTCATGGATTTTGTTCATTTTTTACACTCTTCGTAGCTTAAAAAACGTGTGTAGATGCCCAGTACGTACACAGCAAGGTGCCCACTGGTGCCCCCATTGCATTTCGTCAAGTCCCAGCGACTTATCAAGTGAAGCTTGCCCTACCTGGATAGTGGGCTCTGCATACTCCCTGCTAGATATTGTTATAAAATGGAAAATTTCGATCGGTCAGCCCGTTTTATATCGTTATAGGGGTAATATCGTTATAGTAATATTGTTATAGAGATAAGGCATTGTGTACACAAGTTAATGGAGTGATTTGGTTTGGCAGAAAAATATCGTTATAAGGGTGACATCGTTATAGAGGTTATCGTTATAAGGGTAGGTCGACTCTAAATAGTTGTTTTAGTGACTCTTACTATGTGACGATGTTCCACTGATGATAGTCACAAGAAAACATTCTGGAATTGTTTCATTTAAATTGTTTTATACATGGTTATGAGTGCACAATTGATATTTTTCATTGCTTTTTTTCTTTTTTTCTTTTGTTCTTTTCATTTTTTCCTTATAGTTGTGTGCCTGTAGACGATCTCATGCAATCAGGCAACACTGCCTGTTCGTTCTTCGAAATTAAATAAACCAACCCAATCCAACCCAATAAGCCAATCACCCTACCTGCCTTCGCAAAGGATACTTCCTTCCTCGTCTTTACTTAAATAAAGCGCCCAAACCACGGCTGCCACTAGCCACTGTTTCTCCTGGTTTATTGCACCCACTCTGATTGATAACACATAGTACTGTCTCTCTCTCTCTCTCTTACTGGCTACGGCCATCGTGAGAATAAAGATAATAATAACTCTGTGGATGGTTATCTCAGATAAAATCGCCAAGGTGAAGTCTCGAACTCTGTGCAACAGCAAAACGTGCACGCACCAACACCGCACGCATAGTCAATCTACCCATTGTCCTCGTTCCTCGCTATCATTCAATTCCCTCCTCATGGTTTCACTGCATTATGGCGCGCTTTGTCTGCATAGACTCCGAGACCTTTAAGGTTTGCAGAGCAGCCTGGCCCCGCCACCACTTCTCGCACATATTCGGGAATGTAGTGGACTTTCGTAAAAAACAAAATGAAAATAAAAAAATGAAAAAGAGTAACAGACTATGGCCATGCAACGGATGCACAGCTATATCTAGCTACTTGACTTACTTATGCACTTGGCCGTTCCAGCCCATGCACCCTGCTTCTCGGTGACATAGGTGCAAGCGTAGGTAGGGTCGGAATCAAGTTTATACCCCGAGTCGCACTGCAATGTCTCGCTGCTGTTTAACACACCACGTTTACTTGTAGACAGCGCTCCACCAACAAATTGTTTTCCTTTGCAATAGTTCTCAATTGCTACAAAACAACGAAATAAAGTTAGGCAGAAATTAAAAATAAGAGGGCTGAAGCAGTTCTAGAATACTGTTGTTAATAGCACATCGTAAGTGTATCGATAATTTTCATTTAAGCAACGCATAAAGCAAACTGCCTCTCTCCATCAATCTGCGGGGACTGCAAGATGCGAATATGGCAACAACAAAAAAACAGGCGTGCGATGCGAACTCGCAAAATACCTTTCACAGAAGAAGTCAGCGATGTGACGATGCCTTGCTGATTTGGCGCGAAGTTCAATACAGGTGAGCATGTCACCATAGTTTTTACGTGGCTTGGTGCAGCATTTAAGAGTAGAGCGCACATGCTCTCGTCCATTATGATATCAGCACTGAAATAATATAGCTACAAAGACAACTAATTGCACAGTAAGCATTTCATATATGTCAACATGCATGTGTAAAATGTTGTACGATTATCGCAAGGCACACAACGAAAGGGAAAGCGAGGATTCGTTCAGAACTGTTTTCTTGTTACAATCATCAGTGAATTTACGTAACAATGGAATGGGGACTATTTGAAACTAATCCTATATGGACAAATAAAAGTGAAAGAAGGGGAAAAGGAGCAAAACAAAAAAAGGTGATTATACTACATATATTCAGTGGGGGGGGGGGGGGGTGGGGGGGGGGGGGGCAAGCTCAGCAGGTAAGAACAACGCATTATATGTGAATCATCAGCATCAGCAAAACAAAGAAAGAACCTGAACAGACGGAAGGAAGTGTGAACGGAGGGGGGGGGGGCAATCATACTCACCACACTCACACCATACACTACGGAAACAATTTGAGGGTGATAACACTTTCCTTCTGTACACACAACACTGGCTTGTACAAGTGAATGAAGATTGCCTCTAAAACTTTAAACTGTATAATATGAGTATGACTTGCACGACACAACACAGTGAAAGAAGAAATCCGAGTACGAATGGCAACAATCAGGATGACCCACCAAATGCCTGTAAACTGCCGATTTCTTCACATCCAACTCCAGGTCACAATCACACCCGACATCACCAGCCTCATCGCCATCCGCTTCATCCTTGGTATCAACTTCTCCAACTGACTCATCGGAACGCTCCTCCTCTTCTCCCCCATCCACCGACCTCCGTGTTAGCACCGGGTCACCTCCTCCCTGCTCCACCGACTCATCATCATGCTCCGCATCCTTCTCTTTGTCCGTTGACCTCCGTGCCCGCTTCCGGTTGCCTACTCCAACTGGCCCCGTAGCCCGCGCGCCACCACCGCCGAAGAAAACTGTATAGTCCACAGCTGAACGACGCGGTCGTAAACACATGGAGCTGGTAGCCACTGGTCCCGAGGTTTTCTGTGACGAGCCGGTCGTTGGTATCAGAGCTACTTGTACGTCATTGCATGTTGACTGTGTATCTGCCACATCCACCATGGATTGTTTCACGCCAGGTGCTCTAATAGTTGTGGGTTCTGATCGCAACATGAGTGTAGGAGACGCCACTGGCAAAGGAACGTTCCTCGGCCTGTCACACCCTCTGTGCTGCGGAGCTGACGTAGACATGGGTGTAGTCGAAATGTTGTCAGTCGATTCCGATACTTGTACCCTCACCTCGGTGTACCGCACGCCAACCTTCACAGGACAGTATTATAGTTAATGATTTATACTGTTCCACACAATACAAATCGAATCTTGTTCGCAACCTTGTCGATCGCGCCAAGCGCATTAATTTTGCTCTGAGAGCAAACTGACGGCGGAGTTGGACTCCTCAAATCAATTTTCAGTAAGAACGGTTATCCAGATCATGTGCTCATCAAAATACTCCATGCCACGGTGAATGACAAAGAACCGACCGTTGGTCCAGATAGGTGCCCTATCTATTTTTGTCTGCCCTGGAAAGGTCAAGAGCCTATTGATGTTTGCCGAGAGTTGAGATCTCTGGTCCGGAAGACCCTCTACGCTTTGTCAAATTTCGCCTAGTTTTTACAAAGATGCGTGCGTTTCGGGTGTTGAAGCATGTCCTACCAACCAACCAACTTAGCCATCTGGTTTACCAGTTTGAATGCCGGCAGTGTGGTAGCCGGTGTTTTGGTAGGACTGTTCAACACCTGTACACACGCATCAAACAACACGTACCATTGAAGATTCTACCGGAACCCCAGCGCTCTACGCGACCTAGACGCGTCTGGCCTAAAAAGAATCCAGTGCAGCCTCCAATGCAGATTTCGGAATTGACTGACAGCATTTCGACTGCACCCATGTCTACATCAGCTCCGCAGCACAGAGGGTGTGACCATGGTGACAGGCCGAGGAACGTTCCTTTGCCAGTGGCGTCTCCTGCACTCGTGTTGCGATCAGAACCGTCAACTATTAGAGCACCTGGCGTGGAACCATCCATGATGGATGTGGCAGATACACAGTCGACATGCAATGCCGTAGCTCTGATACCAACGGCCGGCTCATCACAGAAAACCTCGGGACCAGTGGCTACCAGCTCCATGTGTTTACGACCGCGTCGTTCAGCTGTGGACTATACGGTTTTCTTCGGCGGTGGTGGCGCGCGTGCTACGGGGCCGGTTGGAGTAGGGAACCGGAAGCGGGCACGGAGGTCAACGGACAAAGAGGAGGATGCGGAGCATGATGATGAGTCGGTGGAGCAGGGAGGAGGTGACCCGGTGCTAACACGGAGGTCGGTGGATGGGGGAGAAGAGGAGGAGCGTTCAGATGAGTCAGTTGGAGAAGTTGATACCAAGGATGAAGCAGATGGCGATGAGGCTGGTGATGTCGGGTGTGATTGTGACCTGGAGTTGGATGTGAAGAAATCGGCAGTTTACAGGCATTTGGTGGGTCATCCTGATTGTTGTCATTCGTACTCGGATTCTTCTTTCACTGTGTTGTGTCGTGCGAGTCATACTCATATTATGCAGCTTAAAGTTTTAGAGGCAATCTTCATTCACTTGTACAAGCCAGTGTTGTGTGTACAGAAGGAAAATGTTATCACCCTCAAATTGTTTCCGTAGTGTATGGTGCGAGTGTGGTGAGTATGATTGTCCCCTCCCCTCCGTTCACACTTCCTTCCGTCTGTTCAGGTTCTTTCTTTGTTTTGCTGATGCTGATGATTCACATATGCATTGTTCTTACCCGCTGAGCTTGCTCCCCCCCCCCCCCCCCACTGAATATATGTAGTATAATCACCTTTTTTGTTTTGCTCCTTTTCCCCTTCTTTCACTTTTATTTGTCCATATAAGATTAGTTTCAAATAGTCCCCATTCCATTTTTACGTAAATTTACTGATGATTGTAACAAGAAAACAGTTCTGAACGAATCCTCGCTTTCCCTTTCGTTGTGTGCCTTGCGATAATCGTACAACATTTTACACATACATGTTGACATATATGAAATGCTTACTGTGCAATTAGTTGTCTTTGTAGCTAAATTAAAACTGCTGTCTCCGAAACGCTTGTTCACTGCAATAAATCAACTCATTTCACAATATTACAGCGTTTCGGTAAATTGCCGTCATCAGGTTCACAATGCCGGTGTGCAAGCTCTCAAGCCAGCATTGATAAAAGCCAACTCCCCTGTCAGTAAGAGCTGGCTGCGAGATTCAGCGCAATAAGAATTCAGCTACAGCCGACTTAGGGGCCGTCCGTAAATATCGATATCTTTTTCAAGACGATACGTTGTTCATTTCTCCCCAGACCCCCTCCCTCCCCCCTCAAAACGAACATATACATGTTTATGCAAAGGATCGATATTAATTTTTTAAATTAAGATCAATTTCGTCATGAAACGTGACCAGCTGCAACTCTAATTTCACCATACACCTAGGTTTACGTTGCCATGGTCGCATAACATTGCCATGGATATGTTCGCGAGGTTGACTTTCACTTTGTGTAGGTCATAAATGACATGTGCGAACAGTGCCCATCCATAGATAGAGTTCGATTTTTTCTTCTCAAAGACGAGACGAACGGGGCCCAAACCCCCTCCCCCCCCCCGCCCCAAACGAATGAATATCTTCTCTATAAAAAGTATCGAGATTTGTGAACGATCCCTTACCCTTACAGCGCTATTTGCATCAGACCAAGAGACACTGTTATAAGGGTACTGGTTAAGTTCATACATGTACTGTATAGACTCATAATGCATGATTTTTGTTCATTTCTTACACTCTTCAGAGCGTAAAAACTTGCGTACATGTATGCGGCCCCAGGACAGAGCCTTCGGGGGACCCCCGCTGGAATGTTCCGTCAGGTTGACTTGCTGCTCTCCACTCTCACACGTTGTCGTCTGTTGGTGAGAAGAGAGGCAAGCCACCGGTGGCATTTGCCATCGAGTCCGAGGTGGGCCAATTTTGCAAGCAGTCCTTGATGCCACATCCGGTCAAATGCCTTAGATACGTCGAAGAAGCAAGCAATTACTGTTTGCCCAGGGTCTCTTTTCTCGGTGATCTGATGGGTTGTTGTTGTCGCCGTCGTCGTCGTCGTTGTCAGGGCGGATTCCTTGAGGAAAACCAAATCTTCCTTTAGGTCCTTCGTCTGAGTGGACAACTCAAACATGCAGTGCTGTCAAATAATTTTCGCCCAAAATCGGACACCCTTCACCGCCAAGGCTGGCCACATGGTGCGAATTTTTCATCTCAGCAATTTTTCCAGAGAATTCAAAATATCGCCCAAAATACCAAGAAAATTCGCTTCGTTGCCATGGTAACCAATATGGCACCCGACATCGTCACGAGTTTTGTAATGCATGAGTGTGGTCACACACTGTACAGTGTCAGGGGCGTAGGAACAGGTCCGACAGGTCCGGCGGCTGCCGGACAAATGTTTCGCCAAAGAAAGAAAAAAAAGAAAAAAAGCCAGCAAGCCGCTCTTCTGGCAGCAAAGAAGTCCAAGCAGTATTGTCATGTCATGGCCTATGTGCGATGTAGGTTGTCTTTCTCGCTACTTAGGTCTTGTATTATGTGTCTGCGAGGCTGCAGGAAGCTGTTCGGACGTCCCGGCCCATGGTTCTGGAGGCTGGTGCTTCGCCTGCTGCACTAGCTGTGTCGGAGGCTCAAGTTCGGCGGTCTAAATTCATGGATTTCACTGATACGTTTTTTGAGGAAGTTTACTTATTCAGAGTATGCTGTTGCCTCTTGTGTACTCCGTGTGCGGTTGGCTGGGTTCTTTTCTCTAATTGACTTTGAGTTCTTTTCATTTGCTTTGAGTTCTTTTCAGTTGCTTTGAATTCTTTTCAGTTGCTTTGAGTTGCTTTACATTTTAAAATTGTTTTTGGGTTTTAATATTTGAAGTAGTTGCATTTCTATTATTGATCAAGATGGTATTTTGTTGCCTGTACAAGAGGCTTGGCAAAGGTTTAAAAAAAAACAAGCTCGTTTTCAACCATTCGGAGGGTCCAAGTCCTACTTACACAGCACAACCCTCCAGGAAAGGCTCGATCACCTGTTGTTCCTGAATCTCCACAAGAATCTGCTGCACGGCTAGTGCCGGAAGAGTACCACAGGGGAATCAATATGTGTACGTGGAAGTGAGCGTCAGCTCTCCCAATTCGGACAGTTTTAAGCGGAATTTTGCCAATTCAAATACTTGCTTCTGCATGCTTCAGGAGTATACATGTGCCAGTATAACCTCAAGTCTTCCATGACACCACAGTATTTGTTCATATCAATCCTTTTACAAGTAAAATCGCCCTCTTCACTCAGTGCAGACAGAGTCGAGCGAGCTGTATTCCCGGTGCCGAAAGGCGGGCTCACCACCCCTGCATGGCAACTTCCCCATGTCTAACCCAGCCCAGTATGGCAACTTCCCCATGTCTAACCCCCAGGACGAAGTGAATACTGTAGTAGTCATACTGGGCGGAGTTGAACATTTTATTAGAAAGTCGCGACCTGCGCGAGCCAGCTATCCGCCGGACCATTGGAAATCTGCTTCTTACGCGCCTGAGTGTACATGTCATGTATGCGTGTTACTGTCCACTTCCCCAGTCGAGCCCAGCGCACGCCTCTTTCGTAGCACAATGTACAGTGATTTGTGCCTTCAGTTGCGTTGAAAAGTGAAATACAGTCGAATGTCACTTATCCGACCACTTCGGGAATCAGGCATGTTGGATAACTGAATATGTTGGATAACTGATTTGTATTTATTGTATTTATATCATTATCTCATGGCACATCATGATGACGGCCAGTAAAACTGAGACAAGGGTGAAAGCCAACCACAGCAGTAAAACAGATAAAAGAATACAAATAAGAGGCAAAGAAGGCAAAGGAGGAGACAAACCAGCAGGATATACATGAAACCTATAATTGAGCAGAGATTTTAGCAACAAAATTATCCATCGACGTGCTGGTCTTGGCCTGCGTTGGTAATGTTGCCCAAAACACATAGCCAGCAAAGATCGGGGATCTAGTGAATAGGGTGGAGGCAGCGCGTGGGAGACTGAGTGAGTTCCGGGTATTCCGTGTTTCGGAGAACCAATTATAAGCCTGCATATGCAAGGGTATTTTATTTAGTAATATTTTATGTATGAGAACACAGGGGTGGTACTTATGTCGAGTGGAAAGGGGACTGATCTTGGCAATTTCGTAAAGACTAGCGGAGGGAAAGCGACGATCTTTGCTAAATAAGATTTTAAGGAGCATGCGGTTATGGGTTTCTAGCTTGTTCAATACAGTAGTAGTTATGCCAGACCAAGCAGTATCACAGTAGTCAAGTAAGGGCAATATATAGCAACGATAAAACAAGCGTTTTCAAGGAAGAGGAAGATGTCTACAGTGGGCTTGAAGAGCCCCAAGGATGGAGCTTGTGCGCTTGCAGACATACTGGACATGGGGTGACCACGACAATTTAGAGTCAATAATAACGCCAAGATGCTTATGCTCTTCAACAATACGAATAGCAACACTTGAAGAAGGAAAACAAAGTGGCAGGGAAGGGGGAGACGGGGAAATGTACATAGCTGCCGTTTTATCAACGTTTAGCTGCAACTTCCAATCATGCATCCAGGTTATAACTTTCCCAATGCTATCTTGCATGGCTTCGTGCAGTCGTATTGGGCAAGCATTGGAGCAAAGCAGAGCTGTGTCGTCAGCGAAAAGGCTGACACCAGGGGCAATATCGGGGAGGTCATTAATATACAGGAGAAATAGCAGTGGCCCAAGGATTGAACCCTGGGGGACTCCAGAAGTAACGGGTAAAGGCTCCGATAACACAGTTGAGAGGCGTACAAGCTGATGTCGGTTAGAGATACGATGAAAGCCAGCCGATTGCCTTGCCATCAATGCGATATACTGTTCGCAGCTTAGCTAAGAGACCCCTGTGCCAAACAGTGTCGAAGGCCTTTGCGAGATCGAAGAAAACTAAACCAACATGGTTATGGGCGTTCCGGGTGGTGTGGATGTCTTGCACGAGGCGGGTAACCTGGTACCTGGTGGAGTCACCCCGACAAAAGCCCGACTGTGCTGGCGAAAGTGAAATGCGAACATGATCATAAATGATGTCATATACAACACGTTCGCACACTTTTGATAAAGTAGAGAGCAATGAGATAGGGCGATAGTTGCTGGGGGTGGTGCGTGGTCCTCTATTTTTGTAGGTGGCCACGACTACCGCAGTTTTCCACATGGCTGAGAATTTCCCTTCGCGAAATGACATATTCAAGATAATTGACACAGGATAGGCAACAGATGGAGCAAGAGCTCTCCAAACTTCGTTGGTAATTCCGTCTTGACCAGGGGACTTGCCAGTTTTCAGATTACGGAGATATTTCCTCACTTGGGCTGTACCAGTCGACAATGATAGGAGGGACGCAGGTATTGAGGGTGAAGGGGTGAGTGGTGGTATTTCATTTTTTATGTGCATATAACGCTGGATTTCACTGATTTATGTACACAATACCCA